GAATGATATGATCAGAGAGCTTTCAGGTAGAGAGATCAAGTTAGGATTACAGTATCTTCATATCCATGGTAATAATCTCAGTACAATTAATGGTGCTTCATTGTCTTCTTTAATTACCCCAATACTATGTATGCTTAAATTGAGCAACTGTAGTTTAACAGGCGATATTATGAATGATATGATCAGAGAGCTTTTAAGTGGACGGGTCAAGTTAAAATTAAAGAATCTTTATATCGAACGTAATAATCTCAGTACGATTAATGGTGCTTCACTGGCTTCTTTAATGTCTCCACAACTGATTCAGCTTCAATTGAGCAACTGTAGTTTAACAGGTGATATTATGAATGATATGATCAGAGAGCTTTTAAGTGGAGGGTTAAAGTTAAAATTCAAGGATCTTTATATCGATGGTAATAATCTCAGTATGATTAATGGGGCTTCACTGGCTTCTTTAATGTTAATTACTCCACAACTGTTTAAGCTTAAATTGAGCAACTGTTGTTTAACAGGTGATATTATGAATGATATGATCAGAAAGCTTTCAAGTGAAGGGGTCAAGTTAAGATTACAGTGTCTTTATATTGATGGTAATAATCTCAGTATGATTAATGGTGCTTCACTGGCTTCTTTAATGTTAATTACTCCACAACTGTCTCAGCTTAAATTGAGCAACTGTAGTTTAACAGGTGATATTATGAATGATATGAGCAGAGAGCTTTCAAGTGAAGGGGTCAAGTTAGCATTTAAATCTCTTTATATTGATGGTAATGATCTCAGTACGATTGATCTTGCTTCACTGGCTCCTTTAATGCCAATTGCTGAACAACTGTTTCAGCTTAAATTGAGCAACTGTAGTTTAACAGGTGATATTATGAATGATATGACCAGAGAGCTTCTAAGTGTAGGAGCCAAGTAAGGATTACAATTACTTTATGTCAATGGTAATAATCTCAGTAAAATTAATGGTGCTTCACTGGCTTTCGTTAATTACTCCAAAACTTATTCAACTTACGTTGAGTAACTGTAGTTTAACGGGCAATATTATAAATGATATGAAGGTATCAAGTTAGAATTTGTGTCTGTGTTTTCAATGAAAATAATCTCAAAATGATTAATGGTTTTTTACTGGCTTCTTTAATGCAAATTACTCCAAAATTGATTGAGCTTAAATTGAGCAACTGTAGTTTAACAGGTGATATTATGAACAGGCTTATGATCAAAGAGCTTTAAAGTGGAGATGTCTAATTAGACATAATTATGATTAAAGTATAATAAGCCACTATATAAATGACTAAATTAGATTAGATAATAATCTCAGTATGATTAATGGTTCTTTACGGCTTCTTTAATGCAAATTACTACAAAATTGATTGAGCTTAAATTGAGCAACTGTAGTTTAACAGGTGATATTATGAACAGGCTTATGATCAGAGAGCTTTCAAGTGGAGATGTCTAATTAGACATAATTATGATTAAAGTATAATAAGCCACTATATACTGTAAATGACTAGATTAGATTAGATAATAATCTCAGTATGATTAATGGTGCTTCACTGGCTTCTTTAGTGACAATTACTGCTTGAGCTTAACTGATATGATTGGTGAGCTTTCAAGTTGAGGTATCAAGTTAGAATTTATCTTTTTTCTCTGGTAATAATCTTAGTACTGATTACTTTAAATGGTGCTTCACATGACTCCTTTAATGCCAGTTACTCCAAAACTTATTGAGCTTAAATTAAGCAACGTAGTTTAATTTTAACAGGTAATATTATGAATGATGTTATCAGAGAGCTTTCAAGTGGGATTTTAAATTTGATCAAAATAAAAATCAAGAATGAGATCTTGGTATGACTATTATAAATTGCACTGTAAACTGTGATGATATATTTATTTGGTCAAGGGGAAGTTGAAAAAGCGCAATTGACTACATATTATGTTCAAGCAATATTATTAACAATGTGAAAAAGCTAATCATTGATGAAGATAGAGAATATGGTATAGGGAGCGATCATATTCCTTATTGTTAACACTAGATACTAAATTTAAATGCAGACCCTTTCATAGGCATGCTAACATTAACAATATTAATATATGGGATATCAAGCCAAATCAGGATTTTTCAGTATATCAAAATCTCCTTGAGGAGGGTTTCGCTACTTGGGATGTTGATAATTATGATAATGTGAATGCAATGTGGAATTCTTGGAAAAATATTGTTGTGTCTACAGCAAAAGTAGGTATCGGAACAAAAAAAAATTAATCAAAATCGAAAGCCTTGGTTTGATAAAGAGGTTCATCAAGCAATTAAAGAAAGGCGGGCACCTGCTAAAGCTCACAGGTGTTGGATTAAACTAAATAATGCTAATGATGCTGCCACTGAAATTCTTTGGCAAATTTATCAAGAAAGGCGTGAATTAAACAAAAAATAACAAAGACAAGAGTTAAATAATCACTAGATATAGCAAATAAAGGTGGACCCTCATGATGGGATTTCTGGAAAAATTCCAGAGATGCGTGATCAAGATTACGATGATGATTCTCTGGATGAAAACTTGTTATTAGACATGGATTTAGACATAAATATTATTAATAAGGCACTTTTAATTGCCAAAAACAATAAAGCACCAGGGAAGATGGGATAACTAATGAGCTCCTCAAAAATGGAGGAAAACCCCTAGGAAATATACTTCTGAAGTTGTTTAATAAATTAATACAATTGGAGAAAATCCCTGATGAATGGAACATGGGAATTTTTAAAAAAGGTGATTGTAAAGACCTTAACAACTACAAGGGTATCTCACTAACATCCAGTGTGTCTAAGATATTCAATAAAGTAATTGCTATGCAAATCTGTAACTACGTAGAGGAAGAGATACTATCAGAAATTCAGGGAGGATTCAAGTCGCTACATAGGTGTGAAGATCACATTTTAACTATTAAAAGTATTTTAACCTGTCGTTCCAAAGAAGGAAAAACCAATCACTTGCCTATCTGGACTTTCAAAGGGCTTTTGATAGTGTTTGGCGAGATGGCCTTCTCAAAGCAACATGGGATGCTAGTATCAGGGGAAAATTATAAATAATTTATATGATGATGTAAAAGCAAAAGTGAAAGTTGGGGATACTCTAACTGATTAGAGAGGATTGTGATTAATTAATTAACTGATTTGTGATTAATGGAGGTGTTAAACAAGGCTGTGTTTTGTCTCCTATTTTGTTCAATGTCTTCATCAATGAACTAACAAAACTTCTTTGTAACAGTGGATTGGGTGTGAGAATCAGTGGTGTTGTTGGGGGGGGGTGGGTGTTACTATGGGCAAACGATGTGGTTCTGATTGCAGATAATGAATGTGAAATGACAAAGATGTTAGATATTGCAAGCAAGTTTACAAAAGAATGGAAATTGGAATATAATTTGAGAAATCCAATATATAATGGTAGTCGGTAAACATGTTGATAAAGACAAACAATAGAATCTAGGTGATAAGTTCATCACAGAAGTACTGTAAATAATTATAAATACCTTGGAACCTATTTATCTAACAACTTCGGTGAACATACCCATTATGTAATTTAAAAAAAGGCAGTCGATTAATTGCTTATATAAATGCAGTTATTGACAATTTTGATGACTTTAACCATGTTCACTATGGTAACATACCATGGGAGACTATTGGTCTTCCATCAATTAACTATGCTTGTTCTGTTTGGTGCAATACTTTATCTAACGATAATAATAAATTACAACAATTACAAATGCAAATGGCCAGATATCTTCTAAAGGCCCCACTCTGTACACCCCAGGCATCACCTTATGGTGATCTGGGATGGACACCAATCTAAACTATACATAATATATCCAAGACAGTTTCTACTTCGTATTGTTGATATGCACACGAATCGGTGGCCAAAAATAATATTAAATGCCATGTTGTATTTGAAATGTGACTGATTTGTTAAGGTATAAATTTTTAAATGGTGCTAAAAGGATCCTTGATCAATGTGAACAAGAAAATTTTTTGAACATGTGCTTGAACATAATTATAATGATCAGGTGCCTTTAAACACTCATTTAACATTGTTAAAAAATGCATATTGGATATATCAAGAAACCAATGGTTAGAAAACATTAAACAAAAATCCTCATTGGCTGATTATGCCAAACTTAAACCACATTAGATCTAGGATGGTATCTTCTTAATATATCTGATTTTAAAGGTGTTAGTCTCAAGTTCAAGCTGATGTTTAATACACATCCATTGGACGGAAAAACAAGTAAATGGTCAAGTGAAAGTTCAGGGCATTGTGCATTATGTAACAGCGTGGATATTGAGGACACTTAACACTTTCTTTTCAATTGTAGTGCTTTAGAGGATGTAAGAAAGAAAGAACTTTACACTCTGAAATCTGATTTAGAATTATGTGAAGACCCCAATATCTGGCAAATATATCAATCCTCAGACTTAGATAAGAAACTTCACTTTGTTCTTGGAGTTGGAAATACATTCCTAAGTGCAGATGCTCTAAGAGCCTTTGATAAATACTGTAAAAATTATTCCAAGATTGCATGGTGCAAGCATTCAGAGATTAAGTCTGTTCAAACTTAATTTCAAATCAAATGTATTGTTGCATTGAAATGTTTATGTTTATTTTTATCTTTGTTGTAGTTTAATGGAATTTTTTGACTTTAACTTCATTGTTTTAATTTTTTTTAATTATTTCATTTTGTACTGTAAAGTATCAGTAGCTTAGGCCTATTTATCATGATTTGATTCACCACATAAATAATAATCTTTCGCCCCGAAGCCTAGACTCAAAAATACCAGGATGCGTTGTCCGACGGGAGATAGTTTTACATTTAGATAATTAGAGAATTAGATTAAATCTAGTAAAACATTTCACTTGTACTACCAATCAAGTCCCGAAACCTTGACTCAGAAATTCTGGATGGTGTCCAGCAAGGGATAGTTTTACCTCTACAATTTTTTTTATTCTTAGTGATATAGTCTCTATAGAGGCTGCAAAATTTCACTAAAGAAACCTTGACATTATTTTTCTGCGTGATTTGTCAAAACTAAGAGCTTGTCTGGGCCCCTTATAGGTGGATAGATATATCCTCTCTGTAAAATGTAACGTTTTCTAATACGTAATACCGGCAAGAATACTACAGTATGCCCTTTAAGGACATAGTTTATTTTTTGAAAAAGGTAAAAAAAAAGTAATGAATAAAATGATTAATGGTTATAAATATTGTATAGGTACCCTGTTGTTTTTGATATTAATAATAATGTAAATAATCATTTCACTATAAATTACTTGAATTTGTCATTTAACTATTGTAGTTTAGATATTTCTGGTTAATTTTATTGAGAATAACATTTGTATATGCAAGTTGTTCATGGAAATATATTTTATGTATTTATATTAATTTTATTTTTAATTATATTTTCATATTGCTTTTTTAAAATAGTATAGGTCAGTTGGCCGTCAATATATAAACTGTGCTTTGCTGTAAATGGTATAAAGTGTTAAATGATATACAGGATCTGTGATATATTCAACTTGTGTAATTATCGTACATTTTATTGTATTAAAAGTCTCGCCTCTATTTTAATATTGTATTATGGCTGTACAGTATGTTACTTTTATAAACACACTGCAAGAGCGTGTCCGCTGTTTTAAAAGCGTCGTTTCCAAAAAAAAGATATAATAATTATATAATAGTATGCAATAGAAACAGCAAATCATTTTAAAGATTATTAAACATCACATTTATTTTCATTGTCATTCGTATTTATACAGACTGTACAAAGATTTGAAATTAAGAACCATTTTGTAATATTGTTTAGCGAACAACCTTTAAAGATCGTCAAAAAAGGTCGGGGAAAAAATTAAATTATTTTTCTTATTTAGCTTAAATATTTTTCCGAACGCATCTTGGCGAATGAGAAAATAAAAATAAAATTTTAATGATGAACGTAAACAGTGTAATAATGCAACTGATAAATGATTTAAATTTATATAATTAAGGAAGAAATTTAATAGATAATTAATATATAACTATTAAAAACATATTTAATGTATAACTATTAAAAACAATTAAAACCAAAGAAAAGATTACCATTAAATAAAATAGGTCGGGTCTTCATTGATTAAAATTTGACGAATTAACGATATAATTGAAAACAATTCTAATTTCAATAATTTATGCGAGCACGGAATTTACGCGTGCACGCACGCGCGCAAATATTCGATTATATATGAATTCTTATACGCTGTCCATACTAAGTGATGTTAATTATAAAATATAATTGTAAACCCAATTAAGTGTGTGAAATTAATATGCAATGTACGTAACACATATACTTTACATGTGTTCATCGGGAAGATTATGAAACAAAATGGACGGTGTGTACCACGTGACTTTCGTAAACCAAGGAGCGGAATTCGCAACTCTTTAGATATGGCTCTGCTTGGGACACTTGGCGCATGGGCGCCATGTTGTCACCAAACAGCCTTCGCGCGTATAGCTTTATAACATTTTATAAAACACTGATGCTGCATAAACTTTCGTTCATTATTCTGTTTATGAGGACAATTCAATTATGGGATTTTAACATATCATTGTAAATATCATATACTGTATAATCATATTTACCTAACTTTGGAATTAATTAATCAGTGACGTGCTGTATTATTTCGAGAAGATAAAGTGAGGAC